TCTAGACCTGGCTTCTAGCACCTTTCAAAGCTCCTCTGTTCCAGCCTCAAGAAGCCACTCTGGCCAGGCGCCGTGGCTCATGCCTGTAATCCAGCACTTTGGGAGGCTGAGATGGGCAGGTCACTTCAGGTCAGGAGTTCGAGACCAGCCTGGCCAACACAGTGAAACCTCATCTCTACTAAAAGTACAAAAATTAGCCAGGCATGGGTGACACACACCTGTAGTCCCAGTGATTTGGGAGGCTGAGGCAGGAGAATTGCTTGAACGCAGGAGACAGAGTTTACAGTGAGCTAAGACCACACCACTGCTGTCTGGCATGGGTGACAGAATGAGACTCCGTCTAAAAACAGAAAAAGAAAAAAAATTCTCGGCAAAGTTATACAGACAGCGCGGTTTCCATGTACCTGCTCTACCCGCTCCCCTCTTTCTCCTGCTGTTACTTATTTTTAGAGACAGGGTCTTGCTCTGTCACCCAGGCTGGAGTGCAGTGGCACCATCACAGCTCACTGCAGCCTCGAGCTCCCTAGCTCAAGTGATCCTCCCAAGTAGCTGAGCTGATGGGGTCTTGCTTTCTTGCCCAGGCTGGTCTCAAACTCCTGGGATCAAGTGATTCTCCTGCCTCGGCCTCCCAAAGTGTGGAGATCACAAGCGCGAGCCACTCCTGCCTTGCCCGTTTTTCCTATTATTAATATTTTGCATTGGTGTGGTAGATTTTTTATAAGCGATGAGCCAAGATTTATACATTATTATTAACTGAGGTCTGTAGTTTACATTCGGGTTCACTCTGTGTTGCACCATCTATGGGTTTTAACAAATGTGTGACATATATCCACCATTACACTATCATACAGAAGAATTTCACTGCCCTAAAAATCCCCTGCGTTTGACCTATGCATTCCTCCTCCTGCACACCTGCGACCACTGATCCTTTCACTGAATCCATAGTTTTGCCCTTTCCAGAATGTCACAGAGTTGGAATGATATGGTCCATTGCCGGGCTCGGTGGCTCATGCCTGTAATCCCAGCACTTTGGGAGGCCGAGGCAGGTGGATCACTTGAGGTCAAGAGTTCGAGACCAGCTTGTCTACACAGTGAAACCCCGTCTGTACTAAAAATGCAAAAGATTAGCTGGATGTGGTGGTGGGCACCTGAATGTAATCCCTGCTACTTGGGAGGCTGAGGCAGGAGAATCGCTTGAACCCAGAGGCAGAGGCTGCAGTGAGCCGAGATCATGCCACTGCATTCGAGTCTGGGTGACATGGCGAAACTCCGTCTCTAAAAAAAAAAAAAATTCTGATAGGGTCCATACATACAGCCTTTTCAGATTGGCTTTTCCATTTAGCAATACTCATTTCAGATTCTTCCATGCCTTTGCCTAACTCATAGCTCATTTCTTTTCCTTTTTCTTTTTTTTTTTCTGAGATAAAGTCTCACTGTTACCTATCCTGGAGGGCAGTGGTGTGATCTCGACTCACCGCAACCCCCACCTCCTGGGTTCAAGCGATTCTCCCGCTTCAGCCTCCCGAGCAGCTGGGATTACAGGCGTGTGCCACTACACCCGGCTAATTTTTTTGGATTTTTAGTAGAGATGGGGTTTCACCATGCTGGCCAGGCTAGTCTCAAACTCCTGACCTCAGGTGATCTGCCCACCTTGGCCTCCCAAAGTGCTGGGATTACAGGTGTGAGCCACCATGCCTGGCCATTGTTTTTATTTTTGTAAATGTTTTCTGAGATGAAATTACACTATCATGCAGGCTGGAATGCAGCCCGGCAGTCAGCCCACTGCAGCCTCAGACTCTTGGGTTCAAGACATCCTCGCTCCTAAGCCTCTAAAGTAGCCGGGACCACAGGTGCACACCACCATGTCTGGCTAATTTTTTTTTTTTTTTTTTTGAGATGGAGTCTTGCTGTTGCCAGGCTGGAGTGCAATGGTGAGATCTCAGCTCACCGCAACCTCCACCCCCTTGGTTCAATTCAAGCGATTCTCCTGCCCCAGCCTCCCTAGTAGCTGGGACTACAGGAATGCACCACCATGCCCAGCTAATTGTTGTATTTTTAGTAGAGACGGGGTTTCACCATGTTGGCCAGGATGGTCTCAATCTCTTGACCTTGTGATCCACCCGCCTTGGCCCCCCAAAGTGCTGGGATTATAGGTGTGAGCCACCGCGCCCCACTGCTAATATATATATTTTTACTGCTTGTAGAGATGGAGTCTCACTATGTTGTCAAAACTGGGCTCAAGCAATCCTCCGGCCTCAGCCTCTCAAAGTGCTGGAACACGGGCTTGAGCCACAGCACTCTGCCCTGCTCATTTTTTATCACCAAGAATTCTCCATTCTTTACTTTTTAATGTCCCCTTCATTCACTAGGGCTCAACTTTGTCCTCCAATAAAAGCAACTTTTATTGCTTTGTGGTGAGGAACGCAAGCAAAGAGACGCAGGGAGGCAATGACCTCCTGGAACAAGGAAGCCGTGTTGGACATCTGGAATGGGGCTGGATTTCCACCGTGGCTCAGGAGCACGTCCAGGTCCTCCTTCCAGCATGTTACCATGTCTCGAACCCTGCAGCCAACACTGCCATTTGTCACCTTTTTGAATGTGCTGGATGGTCTGTTAGCCCATATGCCCCTTGTTTTCTGGTGTATTTCAGGGGCTGGAATTCTGGTAACTTCTGCAGGTCTCAGATTCTGTCGCCATCCGGGCTGCAGGGTGGATTCTACACGTGAGAAGCATCGGCTCGCTGGGTGGCTCACACCTGGAATCCCAGCACATTGTGAGGCCAAAGCAGGCGGGTCACTTGAGCTCAGAAGTTGGAGGCCAGCCTAGGCAACATGGTGAAACCCCGTCTCTACCAAAAATACAAAAACTTAGCAGGATGTGGTGGCACATGCCTGTAATCCCAAGTACTTCGGAGGTTGAGGTGGGAGGATCACTTGAGCCTGGGAGGCAGAGGCTGCAGTGAGCCGAGATCACAGCGTTGCACTCCAGCCTGGGTGACAAGAGTGACATTCCATCTCAAAAATAAATAGAGAACATGTGGCCTGCAAGGGCAAAATTATTTATTTTTATTTATGTATTCATTTATTTATTTAGAGATGGAGTCTCACTCTGCAGCCCAGGCTGGAGTGCAGTGGTGCAATCTCATCTCATTGCAACCTCCACCTCCCAGGTCCTGGTTCAAGCAATTCTCCTACCTCAGCCTCCCAACTAGCTGGGATTACAGGCACGAACCACCATGCCCAGCTAATTTTTGTAGTTTTTAGTAGAGACGGGGTTTCACCATGTTAGCCAGTCTGGTCTTGAACTCCTGACCTTGTGATCCGCCCAACTCAACCTCCCAAAGTGCTGGGATTACAGGTGTGAGACACCGTACCTGGACTATTTATTTATTTATTTAGAGAGTCTTGCTCTGTCATGCAGGCTGGAGTGGAGTGGTGAAATTCCGGCTCACTGCAACCTCCACCTCCAGGGTTCACACAATTCTCCTGCCTCAGTCTCCTGAGTAGCAGAGACTAAAGGTGCACCACCATGCCTGGCTAATTTTTTTTTGTATTTTTGGTAGAGATGGGGATTTCACTATGTTGGTCAGGCTCATCTCGAACTCCTAACCTCGTGATCCGCCCGCCTCGGCCTCCCAAAGTGTTGGGATTACAGGCGTGAGCCACTGTGCCTGGCCCAGAAATATTTAGATTCTGATCCTTGATGGAAAAAGTTTTCCATCCTCTGCCCTACATTTTATTTGATCATTTCCACAATGAATAAGTTAGTTCTAGGATCTTGAGCAAACATGTCTGTATTAGTCTGTTTTCACACTGCTATAAAGAACTATGTGAGTGTGGGTGATTTATGAAGAAAAAAGGTTTAATGGACTCGCAGTTCTGCGTGGCTGGGGAGGCCTCAGGAAACTTACAACCATGACAAAAAGTGAAGGGAAAGCCAGGCACATCTTACATGGAGGCAGGAGAGAGAGAGAGAAGGGGGGCGTGCCAGACACTTATCAAACGACCAGATCTGGGGAGAACTCACTATCAGGAGAGCTGCACCGGGGAACCACTCCCTAGACCTCCCACCAGGTCCCTTCCTCCACACGTGGGGATTACAGTTCTGCATGAGGTTTGGGTGGACACACATGCAAACACGTCAGTGTTCTTTCTCTAAGCCTCCATGTTCTCCTCTGTAAAATGGGGTAAGGGGCCCCTACTTACTGCATGAGCTTGCTCGGCAATTAAAATTGAGCCAGGCATAGTGGCTCATGCCTGTAATCTCAGCACTCTGGGAGGCTGAGGCGGGTGGACCATGAGGTCAGCAGTTTGAGACCGGCCTGACCAACATGGTGAAACCCGGTCTCAAGTAAAAATACAAAAATTAGCCAGGTGTGATGGCGAGCGCCTATAATCCCAGCTACTCGGGAGGCTGAGGCAGAAGAATCGCTTAAAACTAGAAGGCAGAGGTTGCAGTGAGATTGGGCCACTGCACTCCACCCTGGGCAAAAGAGCAAATCTCCATCTCAAATACATACATACATACATAAGTAAATAAATATGGCATGTCATGGGCCAAGGGACTTTGAAGGTGGGACAGCTCCTGCAGGTGCTCCTGGCTGGAGTCACAGGATCCAAAGCCCCAGAAATCCCACATCTTTCTTTTCTCCTTTTTTCTTTCTTTCTCTCTCTCTGTCTCTTTTTTCTCTTTGTCTCTGTTTCTTTCTTTTCATTTTTTTCTTTTTTTGAGACAGAGCCTGACTCTGTCACCCAGGCTGGAGTGCAGTGGTGCGATCTGGGCTCACTGCAATCTCCGCCTCCCAGGTTCAAGCAATTCCCCTGCCTCAGTCTCCTGAGCAGCTGGGATTACAGGCCACCATGCCCAGTTAACTTTTGTACTTTTCGTAGAGACGGGGTTTCACCATGTTGGCCAGGTTGGTCACGAACTCCTGACCTCAGGCGATCCACCTGCCTCGGCCTCCCAAAGTCCTGGGATTACAGGTGAGCCACTGCGCCAGCCTCTTCCGGCTCTCTCCCTCTCACGCCTCTATCTTCTCCTCTGGTTCCCTCCCCCGGCCCTCTCACCGCACCTCCTCCCCTGCCACTTGCTCTCTTCAAACTCGGGATGAGAGAAAGTTCCGGCAGAAATTGCAATCTCCTCTCCTCTCATGTGGCTCTGAGATAAGACAGTAAAAATCCGATTTTCAGCAATTTGCTTCATTTGTGAGCTCTCCGGAGTCTCCCGTTTTCCCCCTGACACGAGTTTAGCAAAATTGCCTGGGCAGAATGGATATTTTTAACCACTCAGTAGTCAGAGCAGCTTCAGAAAAAGTTTTGCAAGAAAACGGTCCAGGTCCTGTGCCTGGGGCCGCTGGTGGGTTTGGGGCTGGAGGGAAGCACGTGGGGCGGCCTCAGGGGGTTTAGTGGAAGGGCATTTAATAAAAGGATTCGGCCAGGCGCAGTGGCCCACACCTGTAATCCCAGAACTTTGGGAGGCCAAGAAGGGTGGATCACTTGAGGTCGGGAGTTCAAGACTAGCCAACATGGTGAATTCTGTCTCTACTAAAAATACAAAATATTATCCAGGCATGGTGGTGCACGGCTAGCCTCTAATCCCAGCTACTCAGGAGGCTGAGGCAGAAGAATCACTTGAACCTCGGAGGTGGAGGTTGCAGTGAGCTGAGATTGCGCTATTGCACTCCTGCCTGGGTGACAGAGCAAGACCCCATCTCAAAAAAGAAGAAAAAGAGAGAGAGAAAGAGGGAGGGAGGGAGGGAAAAAAGAACTGGTTGAAGAAAAGAAGTTCCCTGGCCAAGCGCAGTGGCTCATGCCTGTAATCAAAGCACTTCGGGAGGCCGAGGCAGGCAGATCATCTGAGGTCGGGAGTTCAAGATCAGCCTGACCAACATGGAGAAACCCCGTCTCTACTAAAAAATCAAAATTAGCCAGGTGTGGTGGCGCATGCCTGTAATCCCAGCTACTCGGGAAGCTGAGGCAGAAGAATCACTTGAACCCAGGAGGCGGAGGTTGCAGTGAGCCAAGATCGCGCCATTGCACTCCAGCCTGGGTGACAAGAGTGAAACTCCATCTCAAAGAANTATATATATAGAGAGAGAGAGAGAGAGAGAGAGAGAGAGAGACCAGGCTGACCAACATGGAGAGACCCCATCTTTACTAAAAATACAAAATTAACCAGGTGTGGTGGCACATGCCTGTAATCCCAGCTACCTGGTAAGCTGAGGCAGAAGAATCGCTTGAATCCAGGAGGCGGAGGTTGCAGTGAGCCAAGATCGCGCCATTGCACTCCAGCCTGGGTGACAAGAGTGAAACTCCATCTCAAAGAAAAAAAAAAAAAAGTTCCTTTGGAAGAAGCAGAAGGTTTGCCCATGAGGGGTGAAGCTGCAGATTAACACCCAGGCTTTCCTCCCCTCCCACCCTTTGATCTCCCACTAGTACTTCCTCTTGGCTGAATCTAACTCCAGATCAGAAGGCAATGGCCCCAGTGGTGTGGGCCAAGAGGTCAGCGCCCAGGACATAGAGCAGGATGGATGGCTGGACGCAGTGGCTCATGGCTGTAATCCCAGCACTGTGGGAGGCTCGGGTAGGAGAATCGCTTGAACCTGGGAGGCAGAGGTTGCAGTGAGCCGAGATCACCCCACTGCACTCCAGCCTGGGAGCCAGAGGGAGACTCTGTCTCAAAAAACAACGACAACAAAAAACCAGGATGGCAGATTGAACCTGGGTGACAGCAACAGAGAATGACCTGCACAGAAGCCACAGGTGCTATCTTCCTCGTACACCCTAGGGTCGCCCCTAAGAAGCCAGTCTGGGGGCCGGGCGCAGTGGCTCACGCCTGTAATCCCAGCACTCTGGGAGGCCAAGGTGGGCAGGTCATGAGGTCAGGAGTTCAAGACCAGCCTGACCAACATGGTGTAACCCCGTCTGTACGAAAAAAATACAAAAAAATTAGCCGGGCATGGTGGTGCGCACCTGTAATTCCAGCTACTCAGGTGGCTGAGGTAGGAGAATTGCTTGAACCTGGGAGGCCGAGGTTGCAGTGAGCTGAGATCATGCCATTGCACTCTAGCCTGGGCGACAGAGTGAGACTCCATCTCAAAAAACAACAACAAAATAAACAAACAAAAAGCCATTCTGGGGACCAAAGGCATCTCCTTCCCAAAACCAAAGGGGGTATGGGAATAATAAAAATTTATTGAGCACCTACTATGTACCAGGCACATGCTAAGTGCTTTATAGTTCCTTAAGTTTTCCACCCGTGTTCCCTCATCCATTCTTTCTTCCTTTCTACAGATTTCCCCCTTCTCTGTTCACCAGGAACATGTACGCAACAATGTCACATCACTGACTACCAGAGCTGAATGTTGATAAAGAGGATGCTAAGATGGACATTTCAACCAGGCAGACACAAGGACTAGCAGCAGAAGCCAGACCACAGTGAAGATCTCTCTTCCTCTCCTTCCCTTCCTCCTTTCCTCCCTTCCCCCCTCCCTCCCTCCCTCTCTCTTTCTCAGACTCTTGCTCTGTTGCCAGGCTGGAGTGCAATGGCCAATCTCAGCTCCCTGCAACTTCCACCTCCCAGAGTCAAGCGATTCTCCCGCCTCAGCCTCCCAAGTAGCTGGGATTACAGGCGCACACCACCATGCCTGGCTAATTTTTTTTTTTTTTTGAGACGGAGTCTCACACTGTCACCCAGGCCAGAGTGCAATGGCCCAATCTCGGCTCACTGCAACCTCTGCCTCCTGGGTTCAAGCTATTCCCCTGTCTCAGCCTCCCAAGTAGCTGGGACTACAGGCGTGCACCACCACACCTGGCTAGTTTTTTATATTTTACTAGAGACAGGGTTTTGTCATGTTGGCCAGGATGGTCTCGATCTCCTGACCTTGTGATTCACCTGCCTAGGACTCCCAAAGTGATGGGATTACAGGCGTGAGCCACCGCCCCCAGCCACATACTTACTTCCTGTAGTGAAAACAATTTGTTTTTTTAGAGACAGGTCTCTAAAATACTTCCCAGGCTGGTCTTGAACACCTGGGCTGAAGTGATCCCCCCATCTCAGCCTCTCTAAATGCTGGGATTACACTTCTCTAAGTGTGAGCTACCACACCAGACCTTGTAATGAGACCATTTAAAATCCACTCATTTCACAAGTTTGAAATCTACATTTTGATTAGCTATAGCCACCCTGCTGTGCAATAGATCACTGGACTTATTCTTCCTAATGGAAACTCTGTATCCTTTGAGCAACGTTTTCCCTTTCCCCATTCCCAGACTCTGGTAACCACCATTCTCCCTCTACTTCTGTAAATGGGCTTTTTGGTTTTTTTCTTAGACAGAATTTTGCTCGTTGCCCCTGTTGCAGTGCCAGTGGCATGATCTTGGCTCACTACAACCTCCGCCTCCCCGGTTGAAGTGATTCTCCTGCCTCAGTCTCCTGAGTAGCTGGATCTACAGGTGTGCGCCACCATGCCCAGCTAATTTTTTGTATTTTTAGTAGAGACGGAGTTTCACCATGTTGGTCAGGATGGTCTCAAACTCCTGACCTCATGATCCGCCTGCCTCAGCCTCCCAAAGTACTGGGATTACAGGCGTGAGCCACTGCACCAGGCTTTTTTTTTTTTTTTTTAAATTTTTCAGATGGAATCTTGCTCTTGCTACCCAGG